AGGAGCGAAGTACTTCACCAAGCTAGATTTGAGAAGCGGCTACAATCAAATTCGAATTGCAGATGAAGATGTTCACAAGATAGCTTTTCTACTAGGTATGGACACTTTGAGTATCTGGTGATGCCTTTTGGTTTCACTAATGCACCAGCTACATTCATGGGATTGATGAACGATATCTTTCGCCCTTATCTAGATAAATCTGTCATTGTTTTTCTAGATGATATATTGGTGTATAGCAAAACTTTGAGTGATCATAGAAGTCATTTACGAGAGGTACTTCAAGTTTTAAGAGACAATCAATTGTATGCCAAAACTTCAAAATGTGAATTTGGCAAGTCAGAAGTAGATTACTTGGGTCATAGAGTTACAGCTACAGGAATCCAAGTGATGAGTGAGAAGATAGATGTCATTCAGAAATGGATAGCACATGAGGATCAAACTCAATTGAAAAGTTTTCTAGGGCTCACTGGATTTTATCGTAGATTTGTGAAAGATTTTGCTCGACTAGCTCAGGCCTTGACTTCCATGTTAGGGAAAGGTCAAAAGTGGAGATGGGGAACAGCTCAAGAGTTAGCTTTTCAAGCATTGAAAGATGCTTTGTTACACGCACCTATTCTCAAGTGGTATGATCCTAACCGTTCTATCAAGTTGGCCACTGACGCATCAGGTACAACAGTAGGTGGCATACTTCAACAAGAATGGGAGGATGGATGGCATCCAGTTGCTTTCTATTCTCGAAAGTTGGTGGCGGCGGAACAAAATTATCACACGACAAAATGAGAGGAGTTAGCTATCGTGTTGACAACCAAACATTGGAAGCATTATTTGGGTGATAAGGAGTTTGCGGTGGAGACTGATCATAAACCCTTGGTTTATTTGGAAACTCAGAAGGATCTGTCCAAACGACAAATTCGATGGGCAGAGTGGTGTCAACGCTTCAACATGAAGATTGTGTACGTGGAGGGAAAGAAGCAACTTGCAGATGCTCTCACACGCATGCCTTGTTTGAATCATGTTGCAGAAGTGAAAATTCAGGCGGATTGGTGAAGCAAGATGTCACAAGCCACAAAGGAGGATGAAGAGATCACTCGGGCACTACAAACTGGAAAGGCAGAGAAATCTTGAGGTTTGGCGTTTTACAATCAGCGTATATGGATTCCACAAGATCACGATTTGCGCACAATGATTTTGGCAGAAAGTCATGATACAGCCATTGCAGGTCATGTGGGAGTGGAGAAAACCGTGGAGAGTATACAACGAGTGTACTATTGGCCCAAAATACGTGAGGATGTGGAGTCTTATGTTCGAAGTTGTGTTGCTTGTCAACAAAACAAGGCAAGTAATCAAAAACCAGCAGGTTTATTACAGCCTCTTTCTATTCCCGAACAGCGGTGGGAACATGTCATCATGGATCTTGTATGTGAGTTACCAAGGACTTCGTTAGGACATGATTCAGTGGTGATTTTTGTGGACAAATTGAGCAAGATGATTCACATCAGGCCAACCACAAAAACAGTAACAGCTCCACAACTAGCTCAATTGTATCTAGATGCAGTTTTTGTGAATCATGGCTTAAGCAAAGTGTTAATCACGGCTATAGGTACTCACTTCACTAGTTTATTTTGGAAACTTTGTTTAGTTTTTTCAAAACAAAACTAGCAATGTCAACGGCCTATCATCCTCAAACTGATGGACAAACTGAGAGGGCAAATAGAACCATAGAGGATATGCTACGAGCATTCACATTAGAAGAACAAGAAGAGTGGGACAACCTTTTGCCACTTGTGGAATTTGCATATAACAATTCTGTTAATGCATCCACAAAAGTGTCTCCATTTTTTCTTATGTATGGAGCTCATCCGATAACTCCTTCAAGTTTGATGAGACTTCCCAAAGGAGAGGAGTTTTCGACCAAAGTTGCAGCATTCAACGAATTCGTGGAGCATATTCACCGAGGATTACATCAGGCCAAGGAGAAGTTGGTGATAGCTCAAAATCGGCAAAAGCAGCATGCCGATGCTCATCGTAGAGAAGTGATTTTTGAGGTTGGAGATCATGTTTGGTTATCTACAATGAATTTGTCTCTTGTAGGAACACCAAAGTTAAACCCTAGGTTCATTGGTCCATTTTTGGTTTTGAAGCGTGTTGGTGAAGTGTCATACAAGTTGGAACTTCCGTCACATATGAAAATACATCCAGTATTTCATGTGTCACGATTGCGAAAGCATGTACCACGACCAAAACAATTCACCAACCAACCAGCACCACCTCCTCTTCCAACCTTGATAGCAGATCATGAGGAGTTTGAGGTAGAAAAGATACTCAAGAAACGAATTCGAGGTCATAAATATCCCAAAGTAGAGTATTTGATTCAATGGAAAGGCTATCCATCGTATGAATCAACTTGGGAACCAGCTAAAAATTTAGCAAATGCACCTTTGATAGTTGAGGAGTTTGAACGTATGTGCAACGAGGACGTTTCATCTTAAAAGGAGAGAGGTTTGTAACCATCTTTAGTTAGTTAGAACTAAAGTAGAGGTTACTCTGAATATGGATGTAGATACTTTAGTGTGCACTAGTCATAGCTGCCACATCAGCGATCCACGCACTTGGTAGGTACAGAGTGGGATGGATGGTGGAGATTAGATCTTATCACCTTGTACTTGTTGGTGAGAGCTATATAAGGGAGAGGAGAACCATTGTTGGTATCTCTCATCTTCAGAGTTTACGTTTTTATCTTCGAGTGAATTTCTCTCTAAACCCTAGTGTTACAACCACCAATGAGAGATCCATGTTTATGGGTAAATCCTTAGAAAGTAAGATGGTGGTGTGTTGAAAATTTTGTGAAAATGATACCGTTAAGAAGAACCAATGTGTGAAGATCAAAATAGTTGATCATCCTTTAGCAAATGTGGCTCAAGAGTTTGATGATTTGTTGAATGTTGGAGAATGATGTCAAGTTTGCCCTACATAACTCACCAAAGTTTGTTGGTGTTATGTGGATTATAGATGATATTTGTTCTTAACACATCTATTATTCTAAAGAGTTATATGTATTTTCTCAATATTAAATGATTTAGTTGTTATGGAGAATAATCAACAATGTACGTTTGAGTGTATTGGATCTGTGTAGATTCATATGTTTCAAATAGTCTTACTTGCATTTAGTCAACTTAGGTTTATGTCTATTTTGAAAAAAAATTGATATCTTTTGGAATATTAGATTCAAAAGCTTTTGTGAATCTCTAAGAAAGTAATGCTCAAAATTAGAATACATGACGAAATTACATTTAAAGTTCATGATCACAACAATCTATACTTGCTAGAAAACATTACTATATGTGGGAAAGTTAACTAATCCCGAGGTGAAATCTACAAGGTGTTGCATCTACCCATTGACTCTAGCATTCAAATGAGCATTTGGCTTTGCCATTGTATGTTTATCGAGAATGATACAAGCTCCGGGATGAATTACTCAAGTTTCGGCTCGATTAAACAGTGAAGCCACAACGTCTACTCGGCTTTTCCTTTCCATACAAAGGAGGAAGCTCTGTTTCATCGGCTGCGAAGTCCATTCCCCATGTAGCAAGTTCATCATCGTGATTGTCCATGGACGCATCTGCAATTCTTTCCTCTACTTTCAGAGAGTAAGAACCGTGTTCTCCTCAACATGCACGGGAAGATGTAATCGACACTAAAAGAGGCCGTCTCCTCCATCCTCAATCCATCCTCAAGCCCTGTTCACTCGAAGAAAACCTAACTTTTCGTAGCAGTGTCACAACTTGAGTGAAACCAGGTCGAGGCTAAATTTCACATTTCAAAGCAAAGCAATTGGTTGCTTTGCTTTGAAATGTGTGTGAAAGTGTATGTACTTTCATCTACAGTCGGCCGACTTAGTCCAATATAAGAATGGATTCAGGTTTATATGTGCAGATCATTCTGAGTCTAGATTTAGATAGAACTTTTTTAAGCCGACCAAGTTCATTCTAATATCACAAGATTGCCTGTTTTTTTAGTGGGACAGATTTTGTAGAACCCCAAATGTCCGGTAGAGAAAAACTAGTTATGTTCTCAACTGGAGTGACATTAGATCTTTGTGTTTTGGCTATGGGTAGTCCGAAAGCTAATCTAAACATTTTTTGAAAGAAGGCTTGGATGATATTCACTATGTATGTCCGTGGAAAACGGTAGAGTGGAGGATGAATTTGTAAGTCACAATCTAAAATTGTCATCTTAGACCAGCAGTAACTCCTAGACCACTCAGGAGTTTTGGCTTAAATGTTTGCCGAAGATTTCTATACTTAAATCTTATAAGGAGGGTTATGAGGTCTGTATAGTTCTTCTGCTAAGATTGATATAGTAGTTTTTTTGGCAGAAATTGTTTCTTAGTAGTTCCTTATTGATGAACCAATTTAATTGGATGACAAGGATTTTGCCTCTTTGATGATGATACCTAGGTTTTCTAGAAATGAAACTACTAATCTTCCTCTCAATAGTTCATTTTTAATCCCTTTTCAATTGATGGAGAAGCGAGAATTGCGACAGCACTTAGAATTCTAAAATATAGAAACACTTGTTCGAATGGGGTTCAACATTCGATTTACGTTGCGGTTATCAAGTTTATTATTGGAACCAAAAGATCTTGTTGGACAAATATCAGTTGATTTGGTGAAGTAGGATATTATCAATTCTGTCAAGCCGTTATTGTTAGGTGAAGTTGGACCAAATCATCTAGGAATTCTGTTTTTAGTTAAGAGATGTTTTAGTGCTAGTAGCCATAGCCCCGGCCCTTCTCGAGGTAAAGATTTCAAACGAGAGACCAGGCATGAGATTATTGTTTAACAACAAAAGAAATGGAATGTCAGAAAGTAACACAAGTCGTGTTCTCGATCTCAGAAAGGGGGCCCAATCGTCATTACTGCTGTAAAACACTTATAAAGAATGATGAGAACGAAGAAAGACATCGGTTCGCTGACAGATCGGTTGTTCTATTCGATGCACTCTGAGCACTAGAGACAATATGAACCCCTTCCAAGCGCTAATACTACAGAAACGCCGCAGATAGAAGTCGATGACTACTTCGTACTATGGGTACGGGATCTTGAGTGGAGGAGTCGAATCGAATCGAATCAATGCGAATAGTTGACAAAGTCTATATGGTCTGTAGGCGAAGACAAGTGAATGTGAAGATCCACAACCTACCACCATGTTCTATCAACTCCATTTGTCCGAACTTCCACAAACTGACTGCACTGCCCCCGAGTTCATAGTCAAGATGTCATAATTTCAGACACCTTCTGTAATGATGCAGTCGATCACAGTTCTAGACCCTTTAGCCTTGTTCCTCGACCCTCTGCCCGCTGGTCGATTCCCTGCCCGGTAGAATCTGACCTCGAATTCAGACGTTACGTGCCCAGGTAACCGTTCCCAACAAGGGTTTGAACATTGGTAAACTGCGATCGGATCAACACATCTGCAACGTACAGTCACATCAGTCTTGTGGGTCTTGCTGGCTTTGCACGAAGTTCAGAATGTAGAGAGCGAGCTTTGAGAGTCAAATCTTGGCTCGAATCGATTCTGCTTCAAGGCATAAACAGGTCTCGCGGACAGCAGCAGGAACATCTTTTCACAAGTCCATTTTATATCCGATAATATAACCAGCCATCTGCCTTGCCTTACTCTCGTTTTTTTATTCGGATGTTTAGTACTAAAGTGGAACGTCGATCTCGCGTCTGCCCAGTTCTCTTCGTTTCAGAAGTCAGCAGAGAGGAGACTAGTTCATCTTACCATCTGTCGGAGCACCACCCGGACGTTGTTCCACTTTGCTGAAACTTCTAATCTAATCGGCAGTAGACTATGGTGTCCATTCAACATTGGCGAGGATGTGATGGATTATGCGGATACTTGCATGCCGGCAGGAAAAGGAGAGTCATGAAGTGAGTCTTGGGAGGTTGACAGCAAACGATTGACCGGTACATCAGAACGTCTTCGACAGAGATGGCTGTGCTCAATATCGATGACATTTTGCATTCACACAGACAGCAAAGGCAGCAGATTTCCTGGCCAGATATTGAGGATGTACTGTGCCGAACGTTGGCGCAGGAAAAGAGCGTGACGGTCAGGGGCACGGGAGATGAGCAGTTCGCGGCGCTGGGAAGGGCACTCCAGTTCCGTCAGTGGGGTGAACTTCAAACGCTGAGATTGCACTGGAAGCGCCTGACTGTGGCGGGCCTGGTCGAGCTCTGCTCGGCGATCATGTACGGCAACCTCCAAGCTCTGAGGGTTCTCGTTCTCACCAACTCTTTCCAGCGTACAAACAACGACTTCGGCTTCGGGGACAGCGGATTGTTTGCACTGGCGCAGGCTTTGTTGGCAGGATACTCACTGTGTCTCCAAGTGCTCCAAATCGGAGACTTTCAAAAGTCTCTACACGACGAGATCTTCGGAATCGAGGGAGCCCAGGCTCTGGCTCAACTCTTCCTCCTGGCAGGCTTGCCGAAGCTCGAAGACCTCCGTCTCAATGGGGTGCAAACGGAGGAAGGAGTGGTGACCATCGTGACCGGATTGGATAGAGGCATTTTGTGTAGCTCGAACTTGAAGAGGCTTCGTCTCGAAGAATGCGAGATTGGACTGGAGGGAGCTCTGGCCATAGCCAACGCTTTGCAAGATACCAATTTCTCTGAACTGGAGACTTTGAATCTCCAGGACAACGTCGGCCGAGCGCTAGGCGACGACGGGATCATAATTCTATCGACTGCTTTTAGGTCGCGCAGCATGAACAAGCTACAGACCCTCTGGTTACATAACGTGTCGATGGGAGAACTGGGACTCATGGAACTGGCCTCCGTGCTTCAAGAGAAATACCTGCCCAGCCTCAGGAAGCTTTACGTGGCTGGCGCACGGCACACCGACGCCACCACCGAGGCTTTTGAGCTGGCTTACCGCAACAACAGTTCACTAATTGCTCGCATCTTTCTCAGAAGACCGACAAATGCAACAGAGCTTGGTGATTCCGATACTGAAGGCGCAGAGGAATACGAGACCGAGGAAATGGAGGATCTGAAAAACTTTGAAGCCCGGTTAGATAAACTGCGAGTCATCAACGAGATGCAAGCAAAGAAGATGAAACGTATTATGTAGTGGACGGACATCATCCTGGGCCTTCCAAGGTTCGCCCTCCGTGTGACAAAGAGCTCGATCGTATGAATTTGACAAGTCAGGCCCCAAGTCGTCAGCACGCAACAAGATCCACAACCCGTAACAAGTTAGAGCTTGCCCTGAGTCAAGACTGTACGGATTCTGGAGGCAGTAACACTTGCAATAAGTCTTGCACCATCTGCGATGATTTCAAATACATGTTGACCAGTACTACTATCGTGCATTCTGGTTTCGATCTTCTTTCTGAAAAGATAGAAACCATGTGTCCAGGGATTGCCGACTATAAATGTATTGCAATTGGTGGCTTTGCTTTGAAATGTGTGTGAAAGTGTCGGTACTTTCATCCAAAACAAAACTCGTGAAGGGGCCCAGTTAGAAGAACGCGGACGCTGTCAGTGAATGATATTTGCGTGCAAGACCGAGCAAGCTTGGGAAAACTGACTGAGGAAACTGTCAGACGGAAGTCAGCTTTACTTCCACATGTTGAGCCGAGGATCTACTTTTTCTACCAGTCTTTCCGATGTGGAGTCGGTGAAAAACTCGGCGGTCGAAGCCTGGACTTATTAAAGGTAGAACGAGTTCGGCCTCAAAGTGGAAGGTCTTCACAAACATACCCAACTGCCCGCCACACTTTGCTTGTAAACGTTGAGATGTAACTTACAGTCTCTCTAAAGCCTATCTGCACGCAAACCTCCAGAAGTCTTTCTCAGATCTAAAAAGCAGATAGTCTCGTATGATTATTGCTGGTTACATACTGGAAATATCTGGACAAGGTATTTTTCATAATTTTCCTAGTTTTCGGAGGTCTTATCGCATATTGGGGAAGGCTATGACGTTGGCGAGACCTCATCAACATGGGAATGTTTCTGTGGCCCATAGGAATGTTTTGTGGTCGAATCAGACCCTCGTATTAATAAGTAACCCTGAGTTCCAGACCAGGAAGCTACCACACCAAGACTTGGCCAACCCTTCCGGCCCCTTCCATAATCTTGCAGATATACATATCATGCCGTCTGTCGCCACGATAGTAACATGTTTGTCTCCTAGAGATTCCTCACATGAAGTGCGAAGCAGCAGCTCCAAAAGTTTGTCGAAACTGGGTTAGGCACTCTGTCCGTATGTCTCTCAAGTCAATATTTCGATGAAATGATGTAAGGGGACCCACTGAGTTCCTGTTACATTCATATGTATGATCATGAAGCTTAAATATATCCTCCTGCACTTTCAAAGCGAGAATATAAAGCCGCCCTACTCACGATATGTCATTTTCAGTCACGAGTTGCAAGAGCTTACAGATGATCTATCGCACTTGTGGGACTCCAGAGTATTTCTGCTTTTACGGTTTTTTCCAGGTTTCATTGGGACGTGAGTTATATACAAAAACTGATGGCTTTTGGACTGCCAACCAAGCAACCGATTCAAGACTCTTCCTTCTAGTTTTCAGGTGCTCTTGTTCTAGATTAAGCAGAATAATTTAAGAATTCTTAACATGAACGACACGACAGCACACAGTGTGTTGATGTAAAGCTCAGATACGCATTGAACACAAGCTGTAAGTTCAGTGATGTGAGTTGTTACGTGCAGATGTCAGGAATCGCACCATGTTTTCTCGTCTACACTACACGCTACTGGCTACAGCTACCAGCCAACGTGTTATTTCTTCCACTTGATTATAAAGTTGTTTTTTGTTTTGACTTGACACCGCATCCTGGCCAACGCAGAGGCAACAGATTTCTCACCCCAAAACTCATCGAAATTGCTAGTTCAACACCTGATGAACTCATGAATAAGACTTTTGACCAAGTTTCGAACTCAACCAACATAATTCTCTTGAGTGCCCTGCGGAAGAATCCCAATTGTTCGATGTTTTAAACGCCACTGGCTGGAGTGTCGCATGAGAGTCTGAGTCTATGTGATTCAGTCCTTGTGGAAATTTACTTGAGAGGTGAATCGCAGTTACGGGAATCATAAAAACACGTTTCCTTCAATGAAATTTTCTTGACCCGTGGTGTTCAGGACGAAGAGGTATTTGGATTTACTTGGGTTCATGGTAGGACCGGTCACACTATACGTCACTCGAATCCTTGACCAGACAATGTGCAATAGAATCCATAACTGAGAACATGAAAGGAAACCCTGAATTATTAATCAAGCGGTTGCTCAATACAATTTCAGTGTTCCTTCACAGGTGGTCCACTATTTCAAATCTTGTCCACGAATATTTGCGCTAATTTTATCTTGGGCTTATACTCAAATAAGGCAGCGCTAAGCAAGGAGCAAAGATAAGAGCATATGAAGAAAGTACAGTGAAAAGGAATTGTTTGCAGTTTTCCTGGACATGCAATCCAAACTCAAGACAGCCATCTCTGAGTTGATGGTATGAAGTCGTGACTAGGCCTTGCGATCATCCCGAAGTGACTGCCCACAGCGACCACTGTGCTGCATACATCCAAGAATCTGGCTTGATACGACGAAAATTCATTTAAAAATGGGCATTGTTCTACCGGCTGGCAGGAAGCGCAGGACAAATTAACAACTAGGATATGAGAATCTCGATTCTATACTCAGTGGTATACAGTATATTTATCATAGAGGGAAGTTCTGCTACCATCAACTGTTTCAGCTTCCAAAGCTCTTGAACATTCCTCGCACCTTGTTCCTCAGACGGACATCATATGCATGATCGCCTCGGAAGTCATGTGGAAGAGTTCTTGACAGGATGCTATTTCTGCGCTGATGAGATTCAGCAGCAGCAGCAGAGAGAGAGAGCCACGATATCTGAGATCAAGCTGGAGGGCCTCCAACATGAGCCCACTTACCTCTATAAGTGCCTGAGTAATTTTGACCACCAGTTCATCTCATGGTGTTCAGTATGACATCTACGACGTAATCAGCTGAGAAATAGTGCTGCATATGCTGCCCTGTCCTTCTTGGTACCCATTTGGTATGACTTCTTGTCTCACCACGTTATGTCATGATTCCAGGGCCAGACTCGAGGGGGGAAGAGAGAGAGAGAGAGAGAGAGAGAGAGAGAGAGAAAGAAAGAGCCAAGATATTTTCAGTTCGCGGCTGTCTCGCCATGAGATCAAGCTGGAGTGCCTCTAACACGAGCCTGGTCGCCTCTACAAGTGACGAAGTTAATTTGACCACCACTCTATCTCATGGTGTTCAGGGTGACATTTACGAAGCAAGCGTATGAGAAACAGTGCTGCATAGTTGCCTTGTCCTTCTTGGTAACAATTTGATATGGAGTCTTGTCTTATAACATTATGCATAACTCCAGGCGATGTAAACTAGTGCACCTCATCAAGTGCTGAGACGACACTAGATTAGACATTTTTACTTTTGATCCTAAACTGATTGTCCTGCTGTTGGGGCAAGAGGATTCTCCCATCTCCTGAACTTTATCCATTATCTTTTGAACATTTCTTCTGTAGGAGGCTTGGGAAACGACTCGGACCCAATTCCACACATTTTAACTTATGCCACGTATATTTCGACGTCGCGTCTAACCCTTTCCATGTTTGACTTCCGAAGAAACCGTCCTGAGATGTGTCGTGAGACAAAATGATTTTAAATATAATGATGGTTCAACAGCAATCAAAACCGAGGGTCACCGACCCCAGCCATCTACACTCGCTCCTTGCAGCACCCTTAACGGATCTCACTCGAGTTCCTCTTGGGTTTAGTCTCGACGACTCGGGTCATCAACTCCGGGCGTGAAATGACTCAAGGCCTCGATTCGAATCTGCAACCTGAAAAATGAAGTACAGGATTTACAGCAGAACCCTGAGCTAAAATTGGAAAGACTTTCTGATGAAAGGTTGAACCTTAACCTACCCCAGCTCCTAGACCACGAGACTGGTTTCAACGACTCGCGGTCATCAAGTCCAACATCTGTGAAGGCATTGTAATGCCTCCATGACGATGAGCCCTTCACTGTTCTGCGCTCACTTACTATCCATCAGAGTTACGTGAAGGCTCCCATGGCCATCGGAAATGCAGAATGAGATCTTCTGACAAATTATGCGCGCTACGAAGAAGCTTCTGACAAATTATGTGCGCTACGAAGAAGCTTCATCAGGGTAAGTAATCCTCGGACGGGCGGGCTGACAGGCTGGCAGGTAGGCCAGAGCTCCGATGAAGGTATATCAACGAAAGTGGTGTGGTTTCGGTCGTGAAGTCACAAGATTGAGCAACGGACACTAGGGACTTAAAAAATCACCTCTATCTGCAGGCATCACATGGTTGCACTCAGGATTGGTCAACAAAATCGCTGGGATAGCTCACTCCAAGCGTTCGAAAGGGTAAGTACTAGCCCGAGGCAAGCAAGGCTCGAGTCTCATTCCCACATCGATGATCGATCCAGTAAATGATCGAGGGCGAATCTTGCCAATCATGATCAGAGGTACAATGTTGGAATTCAAGAAACCACGGAATCGGCTTAAGAGAATCTTCGTGGACAACATCTGGGCGAATGCCCAGCGCACGAGAAGATTCTGAATTAGCGGGGATGATAAACGAACTTGATGCACATGATACCGATGCCCGTAACCAGTCAGCTCGGCATCGGATGGCCCCGGGGAAATTACTAAACTAATTCTATGGACCGTGGCAGGGGCAATAAAACTCTGCGGTATTTCTCTATTCCGGCAATTCAAATACACCAGAAGGACAACACAAGGCTACCCACGGTGCATGAAAGTTGCACTCATGCCTGAAAACATGTCGAGTCGTCGACTTGGTCGAACTTTGATGAGGCCGTTCCACAAATTTGAGCACCTTACGTGCATCGGATCAAGGCCATCACGTGGTCTCAACCTAAGCCTGTTCATTAGCGAGCTCTTTAATTAGCACATCATCATCATCGTACACAGTTCCACTACGGTCGCGCTTTTCCCTATGGCCCACTGTCAACGACTGTACATTGTCCCCCGTACCTTCTCGAGCCCGAGTCCCGACCCAACCTTGCTTATTAGCTTCCGAACACACGGCGCCCTCCTTGATCCCCAATTTTCTCAATCCAGACTTGCACCGAATGATTGCAATTTTCCGCTGATGTCACGCCTGCACTGTCCCGGTCTCCATTGTTATTCGCGTCTCATGTGCATTCCACGGCCCCTTCACCGTCTTCTCATCCCTCTTCCCATGTCTAAATTTCTCCTGGTTCCGTACATCTATCTGCAATTCACCGCTTTCACCTTCTTTACTTCTGTCATCTCCTCACGGTGGTGCACAATTGTGCAAAATTGGAGTTTATTTATCTTTTTGTATTCCTCTCGTCCGCCTTCTGACTCGCGAGCCCTAGTTTTTTCTTGGTCACGCTTTGATATCAGGCGTGACAGTTTTCTGCGTCATTCTCGGTGAAACATGCAAAATTTAGAATGCAGCTAGAATGAACGGGGGCAAAAGTGAACGAACCGAACGCGGAGATTCGGCGCAGTGGAGTAAAAAGTCGGAAGATGGCGGATTATCGAAGGGGTGGAAATCGGTCCTACGCGATGAGTGTAGAAGAGGTTGGAGACAAAGTATCTCCGAGAGGCAAGTGGACAAAGAAAGGCTATAGCATAAGGAATATATGCTGAGAGGTTTATGGAGAAGTGTGCAAAAATATAAATGCGGTAGCATTATACTTGGTGGACTGCGAGCATCATCGGTGCATTCAATGTGCTATCGGTCGCTTGCGTTTTTAGGTGCTGATTCTTTGACACATCATCCCGTCCATCCCAAGGATAACATCTATGTAATGGCTTGTAATACTCCCATCTTGGAATTACTCATACGTTTCGTTATTAAACCAAAAGTGTGGGGATACATGGTACCATAGAAAAAATAATGACAAGATCCAATCAAATTGTATAATATTCTTAAAGTACAGGTAACATAGAGCTCGCCCCAATCAACGCCGATAGAAACCATCTCATTCACCTACTTTTTCAATAGGGTAATAGTACTGATCAATCCTGGGTAAAACGACTCGAACTTCTTCTATTCAAGATATGTTATTTGAACCTCGGATTCAAGATAACAAACAACACATAGAAGTAAAATATCATTCGTGAACGAATAATACTTTGAAATAACTTGATGTGGAGCGTTCTTCACTGGGTTTAAATCATCAAAAATAGCAAAATGTCCTTTAATATACGAGAAAAATTTAACAAAAGGACAAGGTTGGCTCTTCTCCCCTTACATTGATTTCAAAGCCTCTTCAAACTTTTCAGGTGATCACAGATGCTTTGAGACTATTCCCATTCATCGTTTTTTAAACTACAATTGATCCAACTTGATGCTTTTGATTTGAGGATTGGTACACAGATATTTTTTGAGATCATTTTGAACTTTAATTGTTCTTTTAACCATGTAATATGTCAAATTTCAACGGATTGAGACATCCAAGATCAACATCAGATTTTCACAATGTGCAAGACTGCGAGGTATTGTTTTTTTATTAAAAACTAGAGCGCAATTTTTTCATTATAAAACAAAATTTTTGGATAGAATTAGAAGAGTAATTGGTTAGAATTTTTGTCGTTTGGAATATCGTCGCTTTCTTCTAAAGATTTTATAAATACGTTCAAGAAAAGATTGATAATGTGTGGCAGACATAGGAATCTTGAATCATCTGCATTCCAAGCCTTCAATATTCTGTCACAAATGCAATAATCATCCATAGAGTTTGCAAGATCTAACACAAGAGGGTTGTTATTTGTGGCATTGTCCATGATCTAACATCCAACACGCTCGACAATTTCTAATTCCTTAAACTTTTGTAGTACAATTTTTTCCATTTCAGCTTGGTGTGATTAGTTGTGTCCGTAAAACCTTAAAGTTTTTCATGAAAAACCAAGTCTAACAAAAAAAAATGAACGATCGTTGTAAAAAAAGAAAATTGATTAGGTGATGTTCACATATCTAATAAAATATGTACAACAAAATTGCTTTTGGACACCTACTTTTTAAGTTCACTTTTCATCTTTTCGGCTCTTTTCAATGAACCATTTCAAAGAGCATCTGCTTTCAATATCATCAAATTGTATTCAAGTAATATTTTCAGAAGCATTAAGAATTATTTCAATTCAATGATGGTGAATGCTTCGGCATCATAGAGCACAAAATTTTCAATAGACTCATAAATAAGATTGTCAAAAATATTTGAGCTTGCTGCTATTTTTTTCTAAAGCTTAGGAATTTTGCCAATAGTAATCTATTGGTCCAAGCATTGCGTCGCTGTTTTTAAAATATTGTCTTTTATGATGGCTCTTCACATGCTTCATTTAATTTGTTGTGCTTGACTCACTATTTTTGAATGCATCCTCAGTATAGCAACATAACTTTGTGCAATATTTACAGGAAAGCAGCATCTTGCCATCTTTGTCTAGACAATTGATAAACCGCACCTCTAAGTTTTGTTACATTTATTCTTTGTTGAAAATGGCGAGGCTCCAAATCTGTTCACTTTAAAGTGTACTTTGAATCACTATCATTGGCTAAAGTTTCAATCTCGTCATTGTTGAAGGAGCCCACATGTCACTTTTTGGATCTGAGGCCGAACGTGCAACCTGCCTAACAAGAGTTGGGTTATGAGCTATTGCTTTTGATCTCTTGATGAGCAATGTTTGGACTCCCGACAACAACATGTGCAACATATTTTTCGCTAGAATCTTCATGCAGACATTGATTCAATAGTAGATGAGAATAAGAGCATCGAAAACATTCAGACCACATAGTTGAGTTTTCATGAAACTCATAACCTTGGCTTGATTAACTTCAACGGTGTTGATTGTTTTTGCTATATAGCCTAAAATCTTGCAAAAACTCGAACATGTGTTCATGTGATATATTGTAGGACTCGGATCATATGGACAAAGCTGTCATATCTTGAAATCTCCTCCTTGTCATAATTTTCCTCATGTCAGACATGAGATTCATACCTTTAGCAATGCTAGACTAGCATTGTAGCAATAAATTTATATTCAATGTATAGAATTGTTTATCTCTTCAAGCTTTTATGCCTCTTCAATGATGAACTATCTTCAGCATCACGCTTACATAACTTAGAATAGTGGCTTCACATTATTAAATGGCATTGATTTGATATAACATAAGACCAATGACACCTAATGAAGGCTCCCATAATGGAAGGCTTGATTAATTTTTGGGATTTCATGTCAAGTACAATACTCTACCTAATCTCAATCCGACTCAATCCAAACTAGATTTTTTGAGTTTTACCTAAAACCGATTGAAGTTCTATTTTGATGTTCATTAATCAACCACTATATGTATTCTTGACAAGTTTCTGTTTGATTGTATTAACAATTGAAAACTTATGAATAATACAGTCTAACTAGCCGCTAGTTTAGTCGAGCCAAAATCCTCAAGCCTATAGTATTTTTCACATAGATTAGCCCTAACAATAATTTCCTAAATACATGTCGGAGTACAGTAACGTACTTAATCTATATAATTATTTTCCGAAAAGTACTAGAAGTAAACCTAACAAAGGTCATTCTTTAAACTAGAGCTAACTTGAATTAAATTGTAACCAAAACAAGATAAGGTAAACATTTGTAAAGGAGATTAAAATGCTAGTGAATTTGACTTATGCTCGTCATGCAAAATATGCATAATAGCACAATGTCTCATAAAACTTTTAAGAGAAATAACTTTGATCAACGCATAAGTTGCATTGAATTTAACCTCAATCTTGACTAGCTCAATCTTTTCATCAAAAACTACATGTATGATAAAATGATACATGAAGTTGATATGTTTCAGTTTACTATTAATCACTTGATTAGCAGCAAGATGTAATGCATTTTGGGTATCATAGTGAAGATTGATTGATATCATGTTTCAATCTCATTTAAGTGATACTCAGATGTAGAATTTTTTTGATTTTGATCTTGTTCACAAGTCATCATGAACGTAAGCTAGAAAAAATTTGGCATTCTTTTATAAAATATCAAATCATAAACTATAATATTTTCATCGCTTCTCAATGCACCTTACTAGATTTCACATGTACTTATTCACCTTGTCCATTGTTCAAAAAATGTCAAGTCTTATACACATCATCAAATACATGAAGCTATTCACAGATTTGTCAAAGTCAATAGATGACATTTTTAACTTTTCAATGGCATTGGTTGGATATTGAAATACAAAAAGTTTAAAAATATGATGTCAAAGAAGTCCATACTTTTTTTGAGTCTACCATGTTAAATCCGTCAAGCAAGCGTTAAACAAACTTGCCTTGATTGAATCATAGTATTTTATTCATCAAATATCTATGAATGTTTATCTGTAATATCCACTTAAAACTTACCCAAATCCTTTATCTCAAATACAAACTTTAACTGGTTCTTGCATGTGTCAACGTTGAATTGATTCTTTGCCAAGATAAGCATATCATCCACGTAGAGTACTAGAGTATAAAGATTGAAGATTCCATTATTCAACTTCTTCATGTATACTCAAGGATCATACACACTTTGTGAAAAAACTTGTGCTTTTATGAACTCATCAAATTTTACATTCTACTACCTAGGAGCTTGCTTCAATCTATATAACGATCTAAGCAATCTACATATGAGACTCTCTTCATCTCTCTATTCAAAGCCAACTAGTTATTTCATGTAGATCTATTCTACAAGATATTCATAGAAAAATTTTGTTGCTACGTCCATCTATACCATAACAATACTACATATTGCAGCAAATGCACATAGCATACAAATTGTAACACATTTTGCTAGAGATGAAAAAACTTTGTCTTAGTCCCTCCTTTCTCTTGTGTGACCAATCTGACTTTGAAGATAACCTTCTTATTATTAGTAGGATAATTCTTCAGCTTGTACATTCACTTACAATCAATCAAAGTTTTATTTTTTAGTAGTTCCACTAGCTTTCAAGTCTAGTGATCCACCAGCAATTGCATCTCACATTTCATGACAGCAATTCACTCTAGCTTATTGATAGAGGTTTGAGCTTCTTTTGCAAAGAAGCTCAAACATCATGAAAGATTTTACTTCCTCTAGGATCAACACAATGTTATCATCATCCTAGATATCAATATCACAATTTTCAAGAATGGATGTATCAACTCATAATCCATACCTTGCAAGAGCTCTACTAATCATATTTGAAGATCTTCTAATAGAAGATTTTGATTCATCTCTATTGTCCGATGTAGATATTTAAGTCTCATCAACAATAACATGTTTCTTTGATTCATGTTATTCAAAAATCTATTCTATCTGTACAGATCTTCTACTTGTATC